ATAATTCTGAATTTATAGTTATTTTTGAAGTAAAAGTTTAAAGCAATTGCTCCACCAAAGTGGCAAAGTATGTTGTGGATATAGAGCTATAAGTAGTTTCTGATCATTATGCCTGTTCCTTCCTTAGAAGTTAAGGAGTTTGACCAGAAATACTTGAATTGAGGTGTATTAAAGAATTTGACTGTAGGGAGGTTGGCTAGTTTGGTTTCAGTAATGCTAATTATGTTGAGATTATTTTAAATACAATATGATTCCCATAGTTGCTGTTTAGTAAGAGTATTGTAGCCTCTTACATTGTGAGTAGCAATATTTAGTATAAGGTCAGATGAAGGAGGGTTAGTAGATAAAATAGAAGTTTGGTTATTGTATAGTGTTTGCTGTGAAGGTATTGGGGTTGAAGTTAGTATAGGAAGAAAAGTATTATAGTATGTATTAGATTTGATTGGGAGATGTGCAAAGATAGTAAAGTTAGATTTGAGAAGTATAGTATGATGAGGAAGAAGAGTATTCAGAGTATTGATATATATATGTGTTTCTGTAAGTGTGTTGTTGATAGATATTTTGAAAGGCAAAGAGAATTTAAGTTAGTCTAAGTAGTTTATAAATGAGCCTAGAAGTTGAGTTGATGGTAGCAAAGGGAGATTATAGTGTTGAAAGAAGAGGTTGTAGCATGTAGTGATAGCCTTGGTAGGAGTTGGTGAAGAGGGGTCCAAGGCTAGTAGAGAAACTTCTACAGAGACGCTCGCCATATACCTGGTTCTCACAGTTGTGGAGAATACCAAAGCCTACTCTGTACATTGAGTCTGGCCATCATATGATTGATTCTTCATGGAAAGATTTTATTTATAAAAAGTTCAGTAAAGATATATAATTAAAAATAAAAAATGAAGATGTATCTACTAAAATTAAACTAGCCAATAGCTTCAAATACAAATCTAAAAGAAGTATTCCAAATATTGTGATCAAAATACAAGATTATATAAACTTGAAAAAGAATATAGAAGTCTTATCTATACAGAAATACAACTTTATTTTAGAAAAACTATAGCTTTATGATTTGAACTCAAGAATTAACTAGAAAAGCAACTAAATTATAATTAAAAAGAACAATTGTATTTATAAGATCAAAACAAAAATAAAAAAAAACTAAAGAATACTAAACAAGCCTCATATCTAGATAGCAATTTACTCAAGAAACAAAAGGTACTACAGAATTATATGCTATACTTGCTATAAAAAATATTAAAAAAGAATCTAAAAAAGAAAAGTATCTGAATTTCTAAAAGAATTAGTAGAGCAATATTAAGATATATTTTCTGATGAATTATCTAAAGAACTATTACTAGAAAGAAATATCAACTACAAAATACTCTACAAAAAAGAACATCTTTACTATATAGATCTATATATAAAATATCAGTTCTAGAGATAAAAAAATTAAAGAAATAGATTGAAGATTATTTACACAAAGAAGTTATTAAACCAAGTACTTTGCTGTATAGTATACCTGTTCTATTTTTAGTCAAAAAAGAGAGAATATTGAAAATTTATATTAATTATTATATACTAAATAAAATAACAATTAAAAATTGATATCTTCTAATATACATTAATGAATTGTTAGACTAGATATTAGACACAAAATACTTTAGCAAGATAGATTTCTATTCAGGATATCACTAAATATAAGTAAAAGAAAATGATATACAAAAGATAGCATTCTAAACAAAATACATATATTTCAAATTTTTAGTCATGCTATTCAGCCTGATGAATTGTCTTGTATTATTTATAAGATTAATGAATAATATATTCTGCAAACAATTGAATAAAAGTATTATTATATATTTAGATAATATACTAATATAAAGCAAATCAAAGGAAGAATATTGCAAACATGTAAAAAAAGTATTTAAAATTTTAAAACATCACAAATTATATGAAAAAATAAAAAAATATGAGTTAAAAAAAAGAAGTAAAATTTTTAGAATATATAATTTTACAAGAAGGAATAAAAGCAGACTACAAGAAAATTAAAATGATTCAAAACTAGTCTACACTTACTAATATCTATAATCTCTAATTATTTTTAAGTCTTGCAGAATACTACTAATATTTGTGATAAATTTTTCAGAATTTACAACTCTACTGCCAAAATTGCTAATAAAAGATATAAAATTCAAATAGAAGAAATCCTAAGAAAAAGTTTTTAAAGATATTAAAGAAGCATTAAAATTTACTTCAATTCTATTAATTCTAAATTACAATAAGCTATTTATCCTTATAACTGATACCTTAGATATCACAATTAGCATAATACTATACTAAGACCAAGACTAAGGAGAAGAATCAGTAGTATAAAGATTAAAAAAACTAACTCCTGCAGAATTAAATTATCTAATTTATGAAAAAAAACTTCTGGTAATTATCTTTGTACTAAAGATCTGGTATGTATACTTAGAAAGAAATACCTTTCAAATAATAACTAATTACAAATCTCTAAAATACCTACATTTTCAAGCAAAGTTATTATAAACATAAGCTTAATAGGTTGAAACTTTGCAAGCTTATGACTTTACTATCAAATACTAACTAGAAAAAACTAATATAGTAGCAGATACATTTTCAAGAAAACCTGAAACAAATATGATAACAGAAGTCAATATTAAAGAAGATATATATGAAAAAATAAAAGAAGATACAAAAAAAATACTTACTTTAAAAGAATCTTGAAAATATTAGAAGATTCTAAAAGCAAAGAAGCAAAAAGATTAGAAAAATAGATAAATAAATTCAAATTAAAAGAAAATAGATTATTATTTTTTAGAAAAGAAACAGAAAAGCCAAGACTATAAATAGCAAAAGAATCTTAAGAAAGAAGACTATTATTGAAAGAAAGCTATGACTTGAATAGGTATTTCAAATTTGAGAAAACCTATGAAGGAATAAGATGAAATTACTCTAGAAAAGAATAAGCAAAGATGTAAAGAAATATATAAAGCAATGTGATAATTGCTAAAAAAACAAAAATACAATACAAACCCTAGCAGGTTTACTACAAACTCTAAAAATTCTATTACAATCTTGAGAAATTGTGTTGATAGATTTTATAACACATCTACTATGAAGAACAAGAAATAGAAATAATTCAATAATAATTGTAGTAGATAAATTAAACAAAAAAGTATAATTTATACCTACTAGAAGTTTTGCAACAGTAGCAGAAATCACCCAAATCTTCTTTAGAGAAATCTTCAAATACTACAGACCACCATAATTTATAGTCTTCAATAAAGACCCAAAATTTACCAGTAAATTTTGGAAAAGCCTTTTTAAAATAATAGAAACAGAGTTAAAGATATCAATAGCAACACACCTACAAAAAGATAGCCAAACAGAATGTACCAACTAAATTCTTGAAGAAATTTTATATGCATACATAAACTACAAGCAAGACAATTGGGAAGAAATCTTATCTGCTACAGAATTTTTGTATAATAACTTATTACAAGGATTCACAGGTTATATGCCATTCCAACTAAACAATAAATACTATCCAAGAATACTGTCAAGCTTAATGAACAAAAAAATAAACCTAACAAATGTAAAAGCCACACAAGAATTGTTTGAACACTAGACTGAAATGATGAATATAGCAAAAGACTCATTAGTAAATACCCAAGAGAAACAAAGTGATCAAGCCAACAAAAGACAATGTTACCTAGAGTTATAAGAAGAAGACTTAGTGATGTTAAACATAGCAAACCTAAATCCAAAAGAAAGCAAGAAAAGACCATCAAAGAAACTTATTTCAAAATTCATAGGTCCTTTTAAGATCGTCCAGAAAATTTCAACAGTAGCTTACTGATTAGAACTTCCTGAAACCATGCGTATTCATCCAGTTTTCCACATATCCCTGTTGAAACAATATTACCCTAATGAAGACAAAGACACTACCGAATCAACCAAAGATATCACAAACTAGACTCCGGAAGAACAAGAAATTGAAGCCATATTAGACAAAGAACCTACTACCGCCGTCCACAATACTTGGTGAAATGGAAAGGACAACCGTTGTATGATGCGACCTGGGAACCCCTGAAGAATCTTGAAAAATATAAAAACCTGTAAAAGATTTTGAAAAAACGTGGTGAAACTGTTTTGAGTGTAAGGGAACTATTGAACCACGTTGCACAATGCACGTGTCGCATAACGAACGTGCTAGAAGTTCATGCAACGGTCGCATCGGAGATTCATAAAACAAATGTGTATCACGTGAACGTGATGTAAGGTCGGGATCGCGTTAGCATTAGTCATTAGAAAGCATAACGACAATGCGTTCAAGTTGTAGTCATAGTTCAGTAATTGCATTGTGAATTGCGATATAAAATGTGTGTGAAGAGAAAGAAAGCTAATTAGGCTTTCGCTTGTAAATTTTCTTTAATAAAGAAATAAACCCCAGTTTGCTTCATTTCATACATAAATTCGTCCAAAACCTATCTACCCTTAATAGATACGGTTACATTTAGTAATTGATTTATGATACAATAAATTTATGATGTAAGTTATATCAAGAGTTTTAAATTCTGTTTTTATAAAAAAATATTAATAAATAATGTTAAATAATAATTTTTTTTAGCCCATTGCTAACCTACACTATTATAGTATAAAATAATTGATTTAATATATAAAATAAATTAGACTTTTCAAAATTAATAAAAACATTAACTACAATCATTGTTAAATATAAACATGAACAATTTTACATTACTGTACCTTTTAATAATAACCAACTACCAGTATATATTTATACCAACATTTATTTTATAATAATAATATCATCTTTACAGGCGGGCGACGAAGTCGCCCATTATACATGCAATCGCTAGTTAATTATTAATAATTCCGAAAATCCTATCTCTAATTGCACCTACAAATCTACTAGTAATTTCACTTGAACAGACCCTATATATAAAAAAACAGCATTAATTCCCAAGAAGCTAACCAAATAAACCTGATGATAAATCTGATATGTTAAATCTGGTTTTAGTTTCAAAGCAATGATTTCTTGATGCACTCGCGTCACAAAGAAAATCTCTCGAGCTACATCTCACATTTTGAGGAATTTTCCAAAGAGGAGAATCATTCGGATCATCTTTGCAAAGGTCAAGTATATCAAAGTCATAATTTTGAAGTCTTTGTACTTGATCACATCTAAAGACATCGTTTGGCATTAAACATAGAAAATCTTCGGTGGTTATAGAGTCTTTAAAGTTAGATACATTATATCCAAATCTTGTAATAACAGTACCACAAGCTCTCCAGTTACGGTCAGCAAAAAGACGATGTTTAGGACACTTTTTATCCTTTTTAAATCCGCATTCGCGATCAGCTTCAAATTTCCCATTATCATTAGAACATATTTTTACACCATTCATTTTTAATATTAATTTTATCAAGTATTTTTTTAATATAGGTAAGTAATCATTTTTGATTGCAGGTATATCTTCTTCTGGATTATTTGTGTAATCTACTAAGGCATCCAACGTTTGATCTATTAATAAGGAATCTTTACAATCCAAACAATCAGTTATCCTTATTGCTTCACTTGTGTGGCCTGTCAATTCATTTGCTACCTCCTCAAACATTCCTGAATACTTTCCAAAAGCAACAGGAGATAATAACCCTGATGGAGGTTGGGGAGCTGTCAATATTGCAACAACTAAATCAAGAACAGTTGCTGCTATATGTAAGTAACCAAAATAAACATTAGCTCTACCCGCTCCAAAATGCCCAAAACCAGTCCCTTGTCCTGCTGGTATTTTCAAAATTCCACTCATCACAGATAAAATACCAGCTACATTCAGAGGTTGAGCACTATTATCTATAGCTCCTGGATCAACGGTAAGATCAGTAACCATGCCGGTAAATTGATTTCCTGCAGCAAGCAATGCATCATTAAGACCTCGGAAGTGATTATTAGCATTAAAAATATAATTCTCATAACTAAAACAAAGATTTTGTACTTCTTTAGGAAGTAAATTGCAATCATAATTAGGTTTTTCAGCAATCTTTAATTGATTTCTAAAGGGTTTAAAATTTTGAAATCTATTTATAACATAAGAATCAACACATCCAGACATAGTTCTTATAGGTAACATCAATTGATTGGTTACTACATTAATGCCATAGTAACAATTAAGAGCAATTTCTGTTACTTTATACGTTACAATGTGGGGAAAAAATTCTAAATCTGTCGCTTTTTCATTTTTACTTTCGGCTATACCATCGCAAATTCGATTGACATTATCAATATTTTTTAAGTTATTCGGGTTGAAATCAAATGTGCTTATACAGTTATGAGAGCATTCGACTATCTCAACTTTGATATTATCATTATTACAAGTACATTTCTCTCTAAAGAATCTTTTATTAACAGCTGAATCTGCACTAATAACCCCACTAAACCTTTTATCTCTAAATGTCATAACAAAGCAAGCATCCTGAATCCTATATATTGTAGTTAACAAATTACCACATTGCATATTAACGCGAAAGTGATAATTACTTGGAAGTCCAGGAATAAGCTTAATTTCTTTTATACGAGTATCACTTGGAGATGTTATTGTAAAAGAGAATATTTCTACGTTAACTATATAACTATCATCATAATCTTTTAGAGTAAGGACACAAGAAGCATGATTTGGATCGCATTTACATGTAGAAAATGTAATCGGGGAGAAAATATTACATGCAAAATCAACGTATTGAAAAATGTACATATTCTTATGTTCTTCAAAAAAATAAGTTGAAAGTGAAATAGTAAATTCTTTTGGCTGATCTATAGTAAATCGTACAGGAATATTGCCAAAGCTTTCAGTGGTATTATCACAAGTTTGTCTAGAGTCGGAAATTTTATTCCAGCCATCCCATCGACCATCTCTAGCCATAGATCTTCGAATTTTATTCAATATATCATTCTCACTAAACGTCCATGTATAAATACACCCAAAGTCACATGCATTTATGGTGATTGTCCAAAGATTTTTATTATTATCTTTCGTACATGTAAGAGATCTTGAATCAGAGACAAGATTGGTAAAGTTACATGTTTCACCGTTAGTTATTGTAACAGTTTGAATTACATCCAAATTATTACAGTCGGTCAAAACAAAAGTATACGGGGTAGCCTTTGGAGCTTGAGTAGTTGTTGCGGTTGCAGCTTGAGTAGTGGTTGGAGCTTGAGTAGTAGTTGGAGCTTGAGTAGTAGTTGTAGCTTGAGTAGTGGTTGTAGCTTGAGCAGTAGTTACAGCTTGAGTAGTGGTTGTAGCTTGAGCAGTAGTTACAGCTTGAGTAGTGGTTGCAACTTGAGTAGTGGTTGCAGCTTGAGTAGTGGTTGCAACTTGAGTAGTGGTTGCAGCTTGAGTAGTGGTTGCAGCTTGAGTGGTTGTAGCTTGAACAGTGGTTGTAGCTTGAGTAGTGGTTGCAGCTTGAGTAGTGGTTGCAGCTTGAACAGTGGTTGTAGCTTGAGTAGTGGTTGCAGCTTGAGTAGTGGTTGCAGCTTGAGTGGTTGTAGCTTGAGCAGTGGTTGTAGCTTGAGTAGTGGCTGTGGTTGCAGATTGAGTAGTAGTTGCAGCTTGAGTAGTGGCTGTAGTTGCAGTTTGAGTAGTGGTCTTAGCTGTGGTTATAGCCGTAGTTTTAGCTGTGGTTATAGCCGTGGTTTTAGCTGTGGTTTTAGCTGTGGTTTTAACTGTAGTTATAGCTGTGGTTTTAGTTGTTGTCTTAGCTGTGGTTTTAGCTGTGGTTTTAGCTGTTGTCTTAGCTGTGGTTTTGGCGGTGGTCTTAGCTGTGGTTATAGCAGTGGTCTTGGCTGTGGTTATAGCTGTGGTTTTAGCTGTTGTCTTAGCTGTGGTTATAGCTGTGGTCGTGGTTTTAGCGGTGGTTTTGGCTGTGGTCTTAGGTGTGGTTATAGCCGTGGTTTTAGCCGTAGTTTTAGCCGTGGTTTTAGCGGTGGTTTTGGCTGTGGTCTTAGGTGTGGTTATAGCCGTGGTTTTAGCTGTAGTTTTAGCTGTGGCTATAGCAGTGGTCTTAGCTGTGTTTATATCTGTGGTTATTTCTATGGTCCTAACTGTAGTAATTACTGTGGTCTGAGCCTTTGTTATATCTATAGTCTGTGCCGTAATATTAAATGGAAATATTAATGATACTAAAAGTATCAATAAAAGGAGATTTTTCATACTTTTTTTAAAACTATTAGATTTTAAATATTTCTTTTTTGATTTAATGGAATGACACTTATTTATAGAAATAACTACAGTTTCGAAGTCTACTATTTTGTATTTCGAAGATTTATCTGAATAAAAATACATCATTTATATAATTTTTTTATTTCATATTAGATATAATATTTAAACTTGCTAATTAATGACAATATCATTTGGGTAACGTCAAAGAAAACCTTTATGCATTTAATATAGTTTTCACTTTTCGGGATTCATTTTCTGATGTTGTCATTTAGTGTTAAATTGCGTTATTTGACATTGAATCTCATAAGATTAAACCTATTAAACGCATAAAAACATTAAATGATTCTATTTGGCGAATACATCTTCATGCGGATAATTAAACACACGATCAAACAAAATATACGATCTATAAAGCCTATTTTATATAAGTGTAAGCTTATTTATTTAACGGCGCTTTTGCAATTGTTAACTACACCAAAAAAGTTTACAGATTTCATAATTTAAACGATTTTTAAACTATACTTATTTTAAATACGCTAATTTTGAACCTCTAATGTCAAAAATTTTCAGGGAGTAAGGGATCTGAAAGTTGCAGCAGCTCATTATGACGATCTATATACTGTCAATTACTGTTAACTATATCTACAATAGGGCTGTTAATTGGTCCGACTCAAACCGAGGGTCCTAATATTATATAATTTATCAGAGTTGGTCAAATCACTAGTCAACCAAAAATTTGTTGGTCGAACTGGTCTGGTCAAATTGGTCAAATGGTCTGGTCAAATTGGTCAAATAGTTTAACCTATTAAATAAATAATTCTAATATACAAATAAATAAATATATATATATATATTCTTTATATATCATTTGACCAATTTGACCAATTTGACTAATACTAAACTCTTTGACCAACTGGTCAAATTGGTCAAACTGGTCTGGTCAAGCTTGACCATTGACCAGTCTGTGCCAACACTGTTAAAATTATATAAAATAAAATAAAATAAAATAAACAAATATTTTTATCAAATAAAATGTTTTTATTGTCTTACATTTATTCTAAGCATTAGAAGCTAGCTATTATTTTTTTTTTAATTGACCTATCAAGCCTTTGTGGCGCACCAACCTGGTACACATTTTCCAGATGCGGCTCAACTCTCTCACATAATTTTTGTCAGGAGGTAATTTACAACCAGTTAGTATATTATAAACTCAGCAAATAATGAAGAATAATATCCTGATTCTTTTACTATATACATAAGCACAATTGAGAAGTATTACTATAATTTTTAAAGACTATCAGGATATTACCCTTTAATAACAACCCGGATAACTATTATAGCATTTTAAAGTATACATTAAAGTTTTTAAATTATTTTAACAAATAATAAAATTTTTAACTTTATCGATAAAGTTAAAACTTAAGCTATGCGAATTTATGTTTATTATCATAACTCTTATCATTATCATATTTGTTGTCAATTTCACAATAACTTCGTTATTTTCTTCAGATTAGTTATTATCATTATTCTTGAGATATAAAATTTAAATTTTTTTATTGAATTACAAACATAAATGTAAAATAAACATATACCTCTTTAGTACCACTAGTTTCGCAGTAGTAATTCTCATATAAAGATTCTGACTGTATTATTTAGTGTCTTCATTTAAATAATGAATTCAAAAAGAAGACCTGCAATAGCAATAGCTACTTTATATTCAGATGTAGTAAGGTCGAATATCTTTTAAATCAGTTATCACACATTATAGTACTTTTTTGGGCATTTCTTTTTTTTGTATAATTGAAGTCTTTCTTTCGATAGTCTTTCAAATTTTTTACAAGTATTAAATAAGTTAAATAAAAAATGAATAAAAATCTGATATTTTTTTTTTAAAAGAACGTTTATTGTTTTTTTCTTTTTGATGGGTTAGAGAAAGAAAATATTTGAATCTTTAAATTTAATATTATTTTATTTACTGTAAAAGTTTTAATGATGCTTTTTTATCATATGAGAGGTCATGGTATTAAGTAATAATATCTTGAGTCTTTTGGTATTGTGGATTTTTCTCAGACCAGTGTTAACGGAAATACATTATTATTACTAATATGCGAAAAAAAATTGTAAAAAGATTTATATAGGTTTGCATGATACTCCATTATTCTCATTAGTATTTTAAGTTCATGTTATTAAAGTTATTTTAACTTTATTTTAGCTTGAGTTTTGTAATTATCCAACGAATAATGTCCTATCGCAAAAAATTTGAGGTTGAATTATGTAAGCAATAAATACTCTCATGGGATTTACTAATTTCCCCCACCATTTCTGATTGGCTATACTATTATTTAATTATCAGAGTATTAATCAAAAAAATTTTTCAAATAAAAATTCTCGCTATTGGGCTAGAGTTAGTATTTTGTCATTAGGTTATGATAAGAAGATATTTCTTATACCAAAATTTTTCAAGAAAACTTTTTTATTAGTGCGCAGAAGATAGTTTCATAAGTTGAATTTAGAGTTATGAGCAATTTTTGTATTTTTACGTACAGCCAATTAGAAGTGGTAGAGGAAATTAGAGCATTCACTCTCATGTAAATTATTCAAGTTAATTTATCGTTATAGTACCATCTTAAATAACCATAATATTTATATATATACTTAGCATATCATTTGTCAGAGCTATGACATTCTTTGATTGATAGGTTTACGCAAATTCATTCTTTCCAACTACGATAATTTCCAACAAGATCGTTCAACTATTAATAAAATATTGTTTTCAGTAATAAACATTATAAATCTGTGTATTGCATTTGGTGATTCATTTTTTCCGGATGCGAGAACATGATAATTTATTTTATGAGATAGTAAGGTCATATTAAGTCTTTGAAAGTAAACAAGTAAGCTAAAAATAATATCATTCAAAATTTAATATGATATTAATACTCGTAGTATCTTTATAATTAACATTCAAAAATTTTATAGTCAATATACAAGACCCTGTCATCTCAAATTCTCATCATCTGACCATGCTTTTGTGAATATAAATACCATTTGTCTACATTATTATTTAAAAATAGAGGCTTGGAAATTTCAATCGAGTACAAACATTACTTTTGAACAGGTATTTTTATATTTTGCTATAAATTTGTCATCTTAATTAATATAGCGTAGTTAATATTGAATTCTATGTATGAAATATTATAAAATATTTATCTAATATTAGAAATTTCTTAAAATTTGGCAAATTATGATAGCTTAAATTTAATTAATTGAACAATTAACATATAAATTTATTAAAAATATTTGTAATGTTTTTACAATAGCTATATAATCTTCACAATTTAGAGTACAACTATGAAAACAATTTTAAACTAAGTTAACTGGAATATAACTTGAGCAGTAATTAACAACAATCTTCTACAATTATCTAACTACACCACTATAAATTAAGTAAAATTAAAACTTTCTGAGTTAGAAATCTTTTTAGCAACCTTCTAACTATATTTTAATTACATAAATACTACTCTAATATTATTAAAACAAAACAATATATTCATTGTAATTAATCTAATAATAGCATATACTAGTTATTTTGTCTTCACTCATATTTAATTTTTGATATAATTAAATCAAATATACAATCAAACTTTATAACAAATAATCTTAACATTTTATTCTTACAACTTCTTAATCTTCAAAACTTATTTATTAACTACTACTCTTTACAACTATCACAATTATTTTCTAATAATATTTTACTTTATCAAACTATTATAGATCTTATATCAAATAATCATATTTAGCTACTATATCTATATACTGACTCTCACAAATTTGTTTGTCAGAATTAATATATGAGTAACTATAGAAACCTTACTATACCAAACTCTCTGAATAGAAATAAACAAATAATATTAATTTCTACAAATAAACTTTACAAGCAAATACTATACAACTAAGTTCAGTTTTAATATATAATCACTTAAACTCAAATAAATTATTTGTATATATGACTATTCCAAAAAATAATATAAGAATTCTCTATGCTCTTCTAAAGAATTAGCTTACTACAAACTATATATTTGATCTATTAAATAAATTAAATATAGTATTTTAACTAATAATATTATTAACATTCAAATTTAGACAAGTTATAATCACTTTAGTAGGTTTAGATTACAGATAAATTAGTTTGAGTTTCAAATCTTATTATATAGTTTAAGATTATACCTTGTACTATATAGTATATAAAAATTTCTTTATAAATTTTAATTAAATTATTAATAAAAATAGAAATATAGCCTTACTTTGGCTTTGCTTAAAAAAAAAAAAAATACTAAAAGTAAAATAATAAAAGAATAAAAATTTATTGTGAATATAGTTGCTATATATTAAAAAAAAAAACTTTATTAGTAAAATTGTAATCTATATACTATAAAATATTTATTTTTAATCTACTTAATATTTTTATAAAGTACTCTTCTTTTAAAAATATATTTTACAAAAAGATTTTATTTATATATATCTAATAAGCTATTTTTTATATTAATATTTTAAAATCTCTAAATAAATCTTGTAAAAATAAGTAAAATAATTGCTTATTTTTAAAAAAAATTATATCTTATTTAGTAATATTAGTTTTTTATATTCTTTATATTATTTGGTTCATTAAAACTCTAGTAACTTATTTATTTTAAGAAATATTATATAGTATGATTAAAATTTAAAAAAAATTTAAAAATATAATTTAATTGACTATTATTTTCTTTTTTAAATATTTTTTTTATAAAGTAAAACTTAGTTTTAGTTTTTAATAAACAAATTAGTATTATATTAATTAAATATTTTTATATAAAATTATTTTAAAAACTTATAGTTAGAATTAGTTTATTCTTAACTTAAAACTCTACTAGAGTAAGCTATCAAACTTTTTCTAAATTTAATATTATAATATAAAATATAGATATATTTATAGTAAAAAATATAGTTATTTATTTTTTATATTTAATTATAGCTATTTAATTTATAAATAAATATTTAAAAGATACAATTATTAATATATTTATTAGTAAGCTATTTTGATATACTACTTTATATCTTTATATATATTATTTAATATTTTGTAGAATAAACTAATAAGTATATTTGAAGTAATATTATAATTATAAATATATTATTTATAATTAAATCTTATAATCTAAAAAGATTATAAGTAGTATTTAATATTTGAAATTATTATAGTAGTAAGAAGATAAGATTATATAATTCAAGTTTATATTAATAAAAATTTTGTAATAATCTAATAAATTAATTAGTTTAAAAGTATAAAATTTGTAGTATATTCTAGCTAGTAAAAATTATTTTTAATATATAATATATAATAATAATAAGTAAAGTTAGTATATGTTTTAGATTTTTTGTAATAAAGATTTAAAAATATAACAGTCATAGGACATGTCCCCCTTAACGATCTTTAATAGAAATCGATTTTGTATAACATATGATGTTAAAGTTTTCGCTAAAAGTACTTTAAATAGCAAATAAGAAATAATTTTTTGACCTTTAATAAATATAAAATTTACGTTTTAACTTTTATTTTAGATCAAAAACATATAGATTTAATAACTATATACTAGCAAAAATCGGGCCTAAAAAACAGTATTTTTTTATATAAGAACCAAGATCTTCCTCTAACTTCGTCTTTTTTCAAGGAATTTCACATTGTAAAAGGTAGTAAACGAAAAGCACTTCAAAGTATCTTATCAGTGCAAATTAGCTTTACTTAAAACTTTTGGAAGTTTACTTATAAGTATTTATTTTTTTATATATAAAATTTTATTTTATTTTATAGATCTCTGAAATACTATATTAACAAATATCTAGTTGAGTGAAAATTTAGTCAAATTAGGTTCTAACTATCAATTAACAATATGCACGGGTTCAAGGATTAGGCGACTTGAAGTTAAATTTCATTTAACGTAATTTTTTTTGTTATTTGTACGGGGGGGGAGGGGGGGAGGGGAAAAATTAAACAAACATTAATTTTAAACGAGGTTGAATGGTCCAAAATTAGATTCAACCCCGGTCTGTAAAATTTTTTTTTAAACAGCCTTAGTTTGAGAGGAGCTTATTAATTGTTTAATTTTTTTGGGGGGGGGAGGCTCACAGGTGGAGGGGGGGGAATAACGTTAAATGAAATTTTAACTTCAAGCTGCCTTATTAGAATTATAAGAGACTCATTATACAATTTGGGTTATTACAAATAAAAGATTTACATGTGAGATCAAACATTATTATCTTATTCTTGAAGCATCCTACGACGGTTATTTCTCCAATATAGCTTAATTCTTTCAGTTGTCCAGTCCAAAGAAACATGTTGAAGTTCCCAAAAAACTTTTGTAACTGCAGTTTCAGGCAAGTTTTCTTCATAATCAATTAACTGAGCAAGTATAGCTTTCTCCGCCTTTGTAGTAGTACGACGTATCTGTTTTGAGCGGTTAGTTTCAGATAATGGAGCCAATGTGTTCTGTTGGATAGTTGATTCTTGAACAATGTTGCCTGGTTTACTTGTTTGTTTTTTAATACTTTCAAGTCGAGCATAAGTGTAGGTACTTACATCTGCCGCACGATGTCCAGAAGCTATTCAGGGCTTAGTTTTGTACACATCTTGGTCAAGTACTTTTTGAAATCGTAATTTACCTATTTCATAAAAAGAAAGAATATTTTTAATACCATTTTCACTTATTTCTGGTGCATTTTCAAATAAATAGTGCATAGTAGGATTTGGATGATTAAAGACAGATAATAATTTTATAACCAAGGACCAAAGCAAATCTTTACGTGATTTGATCGAACGAGCATTTTGACTAGCCACAATATCATTAGTGTATTCTGCAAGAAGCATTAATAATCTATTTCTCTCACTTTGGGCAGCCTTAATTTTTAACATCATAGTTGGCTGATTGGTAAGATTTCCAGTAAGGTTTTGTTTAATGAATTTTACGCTATAAGTTTCGAGTGCTTCATCAAAAGCTAAATAATGCTCTTCTCTAGTAAGGTTTACTGAATATATACTTTGCAATAATTTTTGTAGTTGTGGGTCATTACGAATTTGAGCCAAAAAGTGCGCTGTAGCAGTTGCATACTGAAACTTTCCAGCTGCAGAAAAAAGAGGTGCAAATGCAGCCAAATTTGCTATCTGTATTCTGTAGTTCCCCTTTCTAATTCCAATTTTATGTCCTACAAAGTATCCCGTTCAACAGAAGAAAAGATACCAAACTTTTACCAATTGATTATTGCTATTTAAAATATTATTCATAGTTTCATTTTTACCTTTTACATACTGACATAATGCAATTCCGACAGCAATTCAGATTAATTCCAAAACACGGCATGTTACTCAATAATCGACAACACGTTCAAATTTGTTCAAGTATCATGCACCAAGTGTTGCTGCAAGATTGAATATTCCATATCTGAGAATATCTTAATCAGAGTACTGCACATGTTTTTAGATATGTGCCACTGTCCTAAAAGAAGTCGAACATCATCGTGAGTTTCTTTATAGGAGATTAATCTTTCAAAGATTGCTTGGTCACATGCGATATATAGACGACTATTACTATCAAGATTTAAGTCATCACAGTACATTTCACATGCTGCATGAACATTGTCATCACAATTAGGTGGGTCACCAGGTTTTAATATTATGATATTCAGAGGTGAAATATTATAACCTATAGATATTTTTTTGGTAATGTTTAAATGCACATCTTCCATATCAAAATTATTTATACAAGTTTCTAATATTGTATTTAAAATATTCTTGTACATTATTAAAAGATTGTTGACAGTTGGAGATTCTCCAAATAGTGGTTGATCAATGAAATTATTTTCTCCAATTAGGTTATCAAGAGAAGTAGGAAGAGCAAATTGAAATACCATTTGTAATGTTGCATATGAGGTTTTTCGTGTAGTTTCAAAGATATTATCATATGAGAAAGTGGAAGCTTTGAAGTCGATATTGTCAATCACTGCCAAATTCCAAATATTTGGCCCTTTGAACAAATTATTTCTAGGGTCTGCATTACGAATTCTGGATTCTTGAAGACGATTTCTATACCGTTTAGTATAAGATATAACACAGGCTGAATGAAGAATCTCTCGTAAGTATAGTAGTAATTTTGGGTTTTGACATATTGATGACATTATATGTGTAAGCCAAATTTTTAATCCAGAGAAAGCAATAGTTAGTAGCATGGAAGTTAATAATGCAGTAGTTTTTAAAATTTGATTTGTGTCAAGCAATTTTGGAAAAAGCCTACGCTGATGTCTTTTTTTGTTAACAACCTTTTGCTTTTGCTGTTGTAGTACCATGATGAGGGCTTGAAAAAAGTTGCAAATAGTATTAGGCAATGAATTGAAATAATCTTCGTATGAATTTGGGTTTTCTAATTGATCAATTTTTTTTTTAATTTTAGGATATGAAGATAAAATTTCTTTTCCTAAATTTTCACCCATCTTCGAAGCCTTTTCTGGAGTTACTATATAAGGCATTTCTCTATTTAATTTACTTTTTCCTAATTTTATTGCTGTTCTAACAACGAATTTGCTAGGAAGTTTTTTTGTTTCGATTTTCGATAGACTTTGATCTGATTGATCATTAAAAACAGCTAATACTGGAGTTATCAATGAGAGAAGTCTTTTTTGCAACATTTGATCACCTGATTCTGCTACTGATATTAGCCATTTTCCTATATACTTTAGTGCATTACTTGTATCATCATGATGTTTTCCACTTTCAGTACATGGTGGAATTTTTGGACCTTTTTTAATTCTTTCATGAAAATGACTGCCTTCTTGATGGAAACATTCTGAGCATATATAACGTGCATGAAGGCTTGAAGATGATTTTTGTGTAATAAATCCTTCAACAAATATGGGACATTTAAAAAGATCAGCACAAGGTACTTGAATATTACACCCATTGATTTTCCATGAATATTTTTCACAACAGTTACCACGACTAAAAAAACATTTTTTTTTGTTGCAAAAAAAGCAGAAGCGAAAGTGAAAATTACTCTGATCAATTGGATATATTTTTTTATCGCCTTGATCATGAAGCCTGTTTTGATCAAAAATAAAATGAGAATAGCATACTCCAAGTTGATTACTTTCAACATTCCCAGCCACACTTATATCTATTTCCCATGTTCCTATTAATTGCTCCAATTGTCGTAGATTTATCGTATTATTGCAGCATTTTATCTCACCTTCAGTGATATCAATAATTATGCATGGTGTTAAATTTGAATTCTGCGCTGATGAATTTTCAACTATCACATCTATTTCATCATGCATCATTGGTAAAGGTTCATCATAAAGGTAAGGGTCTTCCACTATAGTCTCGTTCCAGTCTATATCATCATTTTCATCATTGTTATTTAATAAAGCTTGAGCATTTGCTAGGGCAATTTGACTAATTTCGAATGTTTCCTCTTCACTATTTTCTTCAAAAACATTACATTCCTCAAAATCTAAGTAAGTAAATTCCGAACAACTCATTTTATTTGAAATGTTTTTATAATAGCTTGTTACAACAAGATTTATTATTTATATAATAGCAATGCGAATATAAGAAGATCGATTTATAAATGAAATGTTATAGGGTTTTAGCTATGTTATCTAAATCAAAGGTCAGAATGTTATTTTATTATTTGTCTTTTAAGTTTTCAAGTACAAAATTTTAACAATCCTATTTCTAATTTGTTAGCAAGCTGATTCTCAAAACCCTTTCTTTTATAACTTTCAATTTATTATTATTCTAATTATTCATTACATTATTCATGCTTTATTTTAGTATTTTCCAATTCGTCACTATTGTCTAATTATTGTCTTTAGTTTCATAATCGATAACAATCCCTGCAAGCTAAGTATTACCCAATTATAACTTCTATTATTTGTATTTGATAAAATACTTTTTCTTTTCCTGAATGTTTCAAATTTTCAAAATTTTAGATATGCTGTACCTTCACACAATAATGCCTACCTGCACGTCATTTAAGCATATGCGCATTATTGTGACATACATGTGCATTGAGGTAAAGACCAATTTTTTTGTCATAGAGTGATTGGCTAATCTAACATTATTTAGCCAAGAAATATGCATTATTTTCAGGTATTATTTCGAAATCATATATTTATTTAAAAGGCACAATTTTAAGTAACGCTGGTGCTAGCAAAACTTTTTGAAGTTTCAAATTTATCGCAAAATAATGTATTTTTAATCAAATTTTGTAGAACGTAGCTTACATTACAATCACTTGATTGTTGTTCGATTGTGTGATTGTAAAGTGATTTTCTTAATCAAAAACCCGACACAAATAAAATAGTTCTATGATTTATAACTTTCTATATCTATATCCTCAAAATGATACTCACATTCTCAAAAATGACTTAGCACAATTGCGTAATCGGGCAACAATCAAACAATTGTATTTGTGAGCAGCAATAAATTTTGTGATTCATTTTTCTGCTATTTTAACACAATTGTTTCATAATTTTCAAAATCAATAAAGATTATATGTGCGAAATATTGTATGTTTCGAAAATATTTTGTAATAAAGGCAAGAATTTAATTATGCAAATATGTGGTTCAATATTTTTTATTATAATTTTTAAAACTTGTTTAGTATGATACTAGATAAAATTACATTTATTAAAAAACTACATAACCAAGAAAATGCTGTTTTAAAAAATTATTTATTTTTCCTAGAAATCCTCGATACAAACATTTTAGATCTCTCTTAAGCTACAGAGTTGATATAATTCCAGTTATTTGTCAGAACCTTTCACAAAAACTTACTTATTAAACTATAATAAATAGAGATGTATCTCGCGTGAAATAACAAAACTATTGTACCTGACTCTTGCATGAGATGACATCATACCTCATGTGAGATAACTATTTGGCTAAGAAAATTTTAACGAAATTATTTAGCATTTTTATTCTAAAATGAATTCTTATCACATGAGACTCGCAAACTTGCGTAATAATGTCACGTGCGTGATATGTGAAATACATGCACTAGTCAAAGTACCAAAAATCAATAGTCATATTTATTTCCAGTTTCATTAATTGAATATTGAAGGTGCTAAATGTATGCTGGTTATTGTTAGTATTCTGCGAGTATTCTGTTTGTTGAATAAATATTCAACTAGCTGAATGCCTATTCAGTAGAGTCAAATAACTAATCAGCAAGCAGAATGCTATCAGAATGCTGACAATAACCAGTATACACTTAGCAGTTAGCACTTTAACAACTAATTAACTAAACAGAAAATAATATGACTATATGTTGATTTTTGGTATTTTGACTAGTGACGCTAGGTTTGTCTCACGCGAGGTATATCTCTAATAGTAAATAGAGTTAGTAGCCAGCAGTTGGAGAAGTTTGTAAAAGAAATGTCAAATAATAATGAGTATTAATTCTTATCATGAAATCATAAACCTGGTCATTGTAATCTATAAACAATCTACGATCGCGTGAGGTTATTTAGTAATGTGAAAACCTTGTTTGTTGCGGCCAAAATAAAAAAGTAGTTAAAAATTTTGCTTTAAAGTTAAATTCATAGAAGAAATGTCACCATAAAATCGTAAATCTGTGTTTGTGTTAAGTTATTCGGCAATGTGAAAACCTTGCTGTGTTGTAGTCAAAAATAAATTTTTCCTTTTATTTTCTTCAAAAAAACATAATTTGAAAACTCTGCCTTGAGGTTAAATTCAAGATTGTTTATTCTGGAATAATATTACAGGAGTTAGCATACTCAAACTTCAAACAAAGATCTTCCTCGAATGAAAAAAAATTAAAATTAAAATTTTTATAAATCAATAAAAGAAGATTGAAGGTATATTTTTTACTTAAGAAGTGATGGACAAACCATTTTACAAAAATGGGGTTGTCATATGAAAAACTGTTTGTAAAAGCGAATTTTTCATATAAAAATTAAATGATTAACATTAAAATTTTCATATAAATTAAATTTTGAACCCCTGCAAAGGGACATGTCCCATGACTGATAAGTAGTTTATTTAATAAGAATTTAATTTTGAAATTATTGTAATATGCAAAATTTTTTGAAATATTTTGTATCTATAATTTTGCTAATATATAATTAAATTTAAATGTTCTTATTAGATAATTATTAGTAAATTTTTGATTTTAAAACTTTTTAATTGTAAGTATTTAGAATTAGTTATATAAGTATTAGGTTTATTATTTTAGTTAATAAATTAGTATATTAGATTTTAATTAGTATTCTTATAAATACTATTCTAATATTTGATTCTGTTGAGAGTATACTATTTTGTTATATTTTTTATATTTTGTATATATTAAATAAAGTAGTAAGTTTTGTTTTTTATTAGTATTTTATTTCAAATAAAGTAGAAATTATTGTTATTTAGAACATAAAATTAGTTATATGGTTTATATTGTTGTATCCTAATATATACTTAGAAACTACTACTACTTTTTAAATTTTTTTGTTAAAAGTTTAATAATTAAAAAACTTAATATAAGAATTTAAAAATTTAAATAATTTGTATACTTCTAATTTATTAATCTAGTTAAAAGCTTATTTACAAAAAAATACTAATATTAGTAAAAGTTTTTTATTATCTTAATTTGATAATAGCTTAACAATATAATTATCAAATAGTTTATAAGTAAAGAATCATATAATAACTTTCTGAGTAGTTGATAAATATGAAAATATAGTTGTGACATTATAAGATGAACTTAAAAAAATTATATAAAAAAAAAATTATAAATTATTTTACAAAATTAAAAATTCTTTTTTTACTTGATTATTTTTTTTGGTCTTTAAATTGACTAAAGACTTTTTTTTGCTCTAGTATTATTTTTTTATAAAATTAATATATTTTTTAAGATGCATAAGTATACTATTTACCTTATTAGGAAATAAATTCATTTTCTCTTATTTTTACTAAGTATTTCAACATATGATATTTACTATTAGATTTATTAAGTTTTTCCTAGAGTTTAATTTAGGTAATACGTAGCATTATTACAGCAACTTAATAATTTATTAAGATATTTGCAAAATTTTGAGATTGTTTTTTGGATATTGGATTTTGTTTGGTTTTGGCACTAAGATACTTATAATTAGTTAAAATATTTTAAGACTTAATGACACTCCTTGTAATTAGAACAATGCTAACTTTTTTTTTAATAATAAATTTTTCGTATTATCATTATCTGTTATTCGGTAGGATTAAATAGATAACAAGAAAGGTTATGATATCACTTTATTTTTTTTTAAGGTCTGAATAGCCTACTAAACTTAAAATATCTGCCTCAAATAAGTTTTAATAAGATTTTGATTTATTAATTAACGTTGACTAACTTCCTTTTTTTTTCAACAATAATGTTCCGGGAGAACAACGACGGAAAATATAAGAAAGTCTTTTCGGCATTGATTTCTTATTTACTTTCGTAGAACTTGTGACACTTTATTTTACTATTATACTACTTTTATGCGTAATGATAACAAATATAAAATCATAGGATTAACAGCACAAAGGCGATTTTTTAAACACCTGCAAAAGAAATTCTACTGTTAAAGAAAAATCTTTGTTACATTCGTTATCTAAATTTACTGCTAAAGAAAATCTTGTTACTTGAGCTATCAATTATATTTATCAATTCTTAATTAATACTTTAAAGGAATCTTGCGCCATCTTAAACCATCTTAATTTACAACTTATTTTTATACAGTATAAATACACTATTAAAGGAATTCTATTACTTTACATGCGCTACGTATTAATTTAAAGCCTATCTTTATACAGTATAAATATACTATTAAAGGAATTCTATTACTTTACATGCGCTATCTCATGCGTAGCGTATTTATTGTAAAATATACAGGGACAGTGTATATTCTAATTGGCCAATCAAACATTTCCAGACATTGGACAATGTCCAAATACGTATGTCCATGTCCAAGTAATATGGTCCATGTACAACACTGCTGTACAGTATAAATCATTTGAACTCTGACGAGAAGCCTAAAAGATTATTTACAATTCCCCGTAACAATTCAAAACCATGAGAAAATTTGAATTAATTCTTCTTATCATAATCGTAATTATCAGCAGTTTTACTACCCCAACCCATGAGTCTGCCGATAATTCGGGGAATTTGGTGAAGAGGCAGTGCGCAATTTCATGCGGAAGCACTTGTTGTAATATCAATCAAACATGCTGCGGAAACACCGTTTGTTGTAGTCCCTCGTTTTCATGCTGCGGAACTAGCATTTGTTGTAATCCCGCGTCTACATGCTGTGGCGGAAACCTTTGTTGTGGTCCAACACAAACATGCTGCATGGGTAAAATTTGCTGTAATCTATTCCAAACTTGTGGTAGTACTGGATGCATTAACAGTGCTTAACTTTAAGAATTGCTTTCTAAATGCTTTCACTGATTTTTATTTTATTTTATTTTATTTTTGAATTTTTAAAATCATTACTGATATTTATAGAAAATAATTAGTCGCTATATCTGTTAAACCTACTATATATTAGTTTTATTAATAACTTATTACATTGGGTAGAATTAAGCTATAAGTATTTGTAATTTAAAAAATCGTAAGAGAGTAGTCAATATAAAAGTTTTTATTTTCGGTGTAAAAATGTTATAATATGAATTTGAATAAAATGTAGGGAACTGTAAATAAAAGAATTTTTTAGCGATAATTATCAAGAATATTTTATTAGTTTTTTTTTAAAATGTATATTTCGTATTTTGAAGTTTGGTAATTTAACTTGTACAAAATTGATAAAAATAAATTAACTCTTGTTGGTGTTATTGATTTGAATGTGAGCCGTAATATTATACTTTATAATAGAATTTAATCTATGATTTTTTTTCTGGTCATTTTGTAAATAATTAGAAATTTATATTTATTTTGAGGATATCAAGATTGTTATAATATTGAAGATATATACTGTATACTGTACATATAAAATCATTAAAAGCAATACGCGTGGTTTAACTTCAACCGTAAACTTGATTGAATGCGATAGAGATTTCATATTGAATGGCTAGAATGCGGATATAAATTATTGTAGGGATTAAACTGAAGCTGAAAATTATGGGTCTCGATTTGATACCATAGACCCTGCTAAAATCTACTTATATAAACCCTAACCCTAAATTCTAATCTAACTATAAAAAAAAAAAAACTAAAAAACTAAAAAAAATGCACTCCCAAAAAATTTCAAAAATTTAATAATAAAATATTAAAAATTAAAAATTTTCAGCTTCAGCACCACAATTATAGTTGGGAATGAATCAAGGCAAATTTGCATTGATACGTCATACGTAAGATGTACGTACGTAATGGCATAATAATAAAAGGTGATAAGTCTAAATAGTAAAGGGTCTAAAATTAGCGAATTTGTCAGGTTGAAAAGATGTTCAGATTGATAAGTAGTCTAGTTTCTTGTTGGGTTGGTCTACACTACTTCGAGACTGGCTGAATTATTTTTGTAAAAAAGCAATTTTAGACTACTATACTTCTACATTATTAGAAAAATAACTAATTAAAAATATACAGTATCAGCTAAATAAATTTAGAAATATCTGTAAATAAATCAAACATATAACTTATAAGCGTTAAATAAAAATAAAATATATTTCTTTTCGAACATTTACAATTTTTGAAAATAAAATTAAAAAACTCAATAATCACAATTCCTTACAAATGTTCTAATTTAAATATATATATTTAATACAACTTGAATTCGAAAAAATTTCTAAGAGGAAATATTTCAACATAAATAAATTTGGAAAAATCCGGAAAATAAACATTATCAGTTATCGTTATAAGCGTTAATAATAAAATATATAAAGTAAACTTGTTCAAAACAAAATTTTACACACATTTATCTATCAAAATGCGCTTTCTCGAACCTATAATCCAATTTTAATAATTTAGTTACCAAAATATTTGTCTTTATAAAAGAATAGGATAATAATAACTTTTTAAATTATATTTTTGCAAAATCGGTACCGTATTAATTTATTAATACTAGCTTAGAAAAAGAATGCAGTTTATTTCTATTTAAACTATATAGTATAAAATGCAATTGTAAAGGCGAATTAAAATAAATTCTTGTAAATGCAAACATACCAGTTTGATACGTACATAATGTCAAATGTAAATTAGACATTTCATAATGTAATTTTTTTTTTAAAAAAAAAATTATTATTATCAAAAATCATTTATTAGTAAATTGCCCTTATTAAATTTCATTAAATTTAAAATAACTTGTGTAGATTTTGAAACCACAGAATTCCGAAATAATTTATTGTTTTACTTCAACCCAAAAAATTCACAATTAATGTCTGCATCATTAACTTATTAAATATGTAACTCTTTTGTCAACTAAGCAGAATCTTTATAAAAATATTAACAATCATAATCAAAAATAAAAAGAAAAACAGAATATTTATCACACGGAATCATGACAACAATAATAGTAAATTATTCAATATTGCGGAATTTTGAATTCAAAAGTATTGATGAGAATTTGTTATATTTGTTATAGTAGGTAAGAGAATCATAGGAGGATGTAATGTTTTATATTTTTGAGCAGAAATTTGCAAAGAAGTATCTGATTTAGGATCATTAACAATTTGAGGTAAGTTTATATTTTGTTGTGTTGTCTCTAGAGAATTTAATAAAGTACAAGATCCAAAATTTGAACGATGAGGCTTTAGAGTAGTTTTTCTTCTTGGTTTTCTGATTGGATTATCAGACAACAATTTTTGTAGTTGTGATTTAGGAGATTTATTAGATAATAAATTCGAATGCTTTATTTCGTGCTTAAATTTATGTTGAGAATTATAAGGTACTTCTATTTTAAGCTTGATTTCTTGTTTAATACGTTCCATTTTAAGCTCATTAATAAATGTTTCTGGTGTTCTATTTTTAAACTTTAAATTTTGCTCGTGATCATTAAATGATGAATTTGAACGTTTTAGTTCGAGTCTAAGTTTATTTTGAGAATTGCTAGGTAATTCTAAATCTTCCGTTTTATGCTTGAGTTCTTTTTTAAGACGTTGTATTTTAAGCCCAGTAAAGAATGTCTCTGGCGTTTGGTTATCTTTAAATTTTATAGACATTATAAAGCACGATAATAATTTAAAAATCTGTAATTAGAAAAAATAAAAAATTTGAAGAAAGATTTATATATATTATTGAAGAGTATTTTTTCTGTTATATATATTTTCGAATTTATCTTTGAAATATCAAACGCAATCAAATCATGTAATTTTTATACTTTATTATTTTCGCTATTAATACAGACAGATTTAGTATAAATTCCTTTGTTAGTGTTTTTATTCTTAGGAGAAATGCTAAATGATCATACCCAATAGGAGGGTTCTGGAGTTATTATTCCCAAATGGTTACACTAGATTAAATTCCGAAGAATCTAGAATAAATAATAGTATATAAAATGGTGAATCTAGTACAACCTGAAGGAATATTTTAAAATTTGCCATTTTCTTCACTAGTGATTACACAATACCTTTTTTGCAATCGGATTTTATACATCGAATTCATACAAATTACTTAAATATTTTATAAAAAATAATTTATTTTTTAAATAGCTTAATTTACATCTCACGATAAATAAAGCAATTTAATTAATAAATTTAAAAACTAATATGTAACTGATTCTTATAATTCTGGAGAATTATTTCCACTATGGTTAAATAAATTTTGAAAATTGATACATTATGGTATGTAAATTGAAAGTTCTTTGAACGAGTAAGAATAAATAGAAAACGAGAAATAAATCATAGTATAATAAGTTTTTTTTTTTTTTTGCGAGCATTAATCATGTAATAAATAATTTGAGCAAAGAATATTCATTATAGAATTATTAAATAGCGTAAGTTATATTATTTTTTCAAAGATTAGAGATGCATATTTTGATTGGTAAATATATTTAAGTAGATTTTAAACGTAATTTTGCTAATATTCAACGAAGCAAAAAATGCATAGGCTTCTAAGTTTAAACAGAGGTCTTTGTTTGGAGATAATTTAAATTCAGTTATTTTTCTTTTGGGAGTATACTAGGGAGATTTGGATTCGTATCACTTCACCGACACTCATATCGTCGACACAACACTTCACCTATAATCAATAGAGATGTAATCGGCTGGAATGGCTCGGCTTGGCTCACTAAAGCCATACCGAAGTCAAGCCATAGCATAAATAGCCATGGTGCAACCAAGCCATACATATATCATGGCTTGAGTTAGCCAAGCCGTTTAAGTCATGGCTTAGTTTTCTGAGCCGCTGCTAACTATGGCTTAAGCTATTGTGAAGCTACAGGACTTAAATCGGCTACGTCTGAAGCCGGCTTCAAAATCATGGCTAAAGTTTATCAACTTGACTCAGGCTATGGCTGAAAGCCAAAGCCGAAAGCCATACTTCTCTGATTCAAGCCATGATTTTAAAGGCTTGGCTTGTGGTATTAAGCCGCGGCTGGAGTCGGCTTCAAGTGGAGTCGATAACATCTCTAACAATCAATGTTTGTTTCACAAACAGTTCCTAGACAAACTCATTTCGTAGACAATTCATTTCACCGACAGTTCATTTCACCGACAAGTTTATTTCTTATAAATTTCTCTAACCCTAATTCTAATGATCGAGTCCTAACCCTAACCCTAAATTCTAATGATTAAAATGAACTGTCGATGAAACGAGTTGTCTACAAAATGAGCTTGTCTAGGAATTGATTGTTTGTGGAATATACATGTCGGTGAATTCATTGTAGGTGAAGTGGTGCATCGATGAAGTGATTGTAGATGAAAATTGCAGAACCGAGAGATTAATCGCTAAAAAGAAAAAAAAAAAAAACTTGATAATAAATTATTAATTAGTTAGGGTTTTAGTAGAATATTTTTTATTTAATATATTTTATCCCTATTAGCAAATTTATTAATTTAAGTTGCTACTTATATATGTTTGAGACAAAGCAATATTTTACAGAAATGTATCATTTTATTAATACATTTACAGTACGTATATTACAAATAATATCAATGTTAATAATAAAGTGATTAGTTCGAGTTAAATAAAATCGGTTCAACATTATCATGTCTTTTTACAAATCTAACACGGAACTCTTTAGGCCAAACAGTAATAGCAAAACGTTCTATATCTAAACTAATTGGTATTGGTTTACCATCTTCACCTAATGGTGACGCGTTTTCAATTCGGAAACACCAAAGAAGATGCGAAACACCTAATAAAAGTTCACGCTCAGCCTATATTTAAATTAAGAATATAAATTAAAAAAAAAGAATAATTAATAAAAAAAATTTTTTTTTTTTTTACTAAGTACGTACTAAATTAATTCCAGTGCAAAGTCTTCTTCCAGCACCAAAACTAAAATGATCTCTGTTCACATAATTTCCATTTGCCAGCACGGCACTATTCTCAGTAAAATTTAAAAACCTTTCAGGTTTAAATTCTTTAGGATTTTCATATCTTTTTTCATCCATATGAATTCCATATTGATTCACAACTACAGCACTATTTGCAGGAATATGATATCCATTATATTCATCATCTTCTTCAATAAAATGAGGTACAGAAAGATAAACAGAACCACAATATCTTTGACCTTCTTTAATTATAGAACGTATATAAGGAATATTTGGTTCATCAGAAACCTTTGGTAGACGATATTGACCAATTACTCGATCAAGCTCTTCGTGGGCTTTAGATTGGATTTGAGGATTATTGGCTAGAACAGCCGTTATCCATGCCAAACTTGCAGAAACTGAGTCCTAAGATTTTGTTAAGTTCGTAAAAAAAAAAAAAAAAAAGAAAAAAAAAAATATTTATTAAATTAATTAATTAATTGGTTATTTAGTTATTTATAAAACTTACAGTTCCAGCCATAAATAAATTGCTAAAAACATGAATAATGTCAAATTCATCTAATATGCCTTCATTTACTTTATTAAGCATATCTCTAATAGCACAAGGTCTCTCCTCTTTGTCTTCTTTAATGTCTTTAATTATTTTTTTAAAAAAGGTTTCAGATTCGGTTCTACTCTTGATCACTTCATTATACAATTTATTACCCGGCAACCATTTTAATATTGGAAAAAAAGCCGAATATTTATTTGTTACAGCAACAAGTTTTAATTGAATATCTAATAAACCAATAAATTCTTTATAAAATGGATTTTCTAAACTTTCTGTGCGCTTTCCCCAACAGAATAGTGAAATAATATTAAATGCTGCATAATGAAAATATTTTTTTGGATAAAAACCATCTTTTGTGTTCTCTGAGACTTTAAAAAGATTTCTCATGAGTATAAGATATTCAGTATCAATTATATCAGAATTTTCTTTTATATTTTTTTGACCCAAAATCCCATGTACTATTTTAAAAATTGTAATAATTTCATAAGATTACAAAGATCTGAAAAAGGAATTTAATGAAATGGAATCACTTACCAATAGGTGTGAGCATCCTATACCTATCATTATATGGACTACTATTAAAACCTTTGTTTCTATACAGTAATTCAAAGGCGTAATAATTTGGTGAACGAGACGAATATTTTCCACCTCCTATAATTAATTTTTTTTTTTTCAAATTGAAGATTAAAATACAATAAATTGTTATAAATAATTCTAATAATTTTAATTGACTTGCGTTTTTGTAAAAGTTCTCCAACAACTTTATCACCAGTTAATACAATCCAATATTGTTGACCCATGTTGATACCATAAATATCACCCAAACTTCTCGCCCATTCGGTAAATCTATTTGGATTGAATATATATATATATATAATATGTAAATAATGAAATTAAAAAATTTTTGAAAACACATACTTTTCTTACTTTTTATGCGGTTCACGCCCAAGTTGTAAAAAATGTCCTAAATAAATAAATAAATTTGAAATTCTATTATATTAAACCCCTTAATTATTATTATTATTTTTTTTACTAACCAACATAGAATCTTTTACCAGGTGGAGAAGGAAGCTTTTTAAGGCCATGTGGAGTATTTGACTTAAATGTATAATAAAACAAAAGACAAGCCAACAAAAAATAAATTAGAAACATTTTTCTTTTACTGTAATAGGATTATGCTACTGTTAAATAAGAAATTTTGATAAGAAATTTCTTAAACTTATTGTGTTAATCGAATTTATTTTTATTTGGGTAATAATAATATTATTATTCCCGTAGTATGAGATATCGTGATAGTATCACACATACACATAGTATCGTGGTAAACGTTAAATTGTACGTAGTGATGTGACCCGTCCAAAAAACACTACCCGTGTCACCGATGGGTGGATTCGGGGTCATCGGGTAACCCGTAGAAGTCTGGTCTAGTCAAAAAAAAAAACGTGATTTTTATCTTGTATGTACGTATTATGTAATTACGTAACTCAAATTAAAACTCAATAAGCATGATAATTTATTAAATACGGATAATCCGATTTAGTTTATCTGTAATTTTATCCGAATAATTAGTAAAATTCGGATTATCCGGATAAAATTTTCATCTCTAGTTTATACTGTATATGTTCGTTTAATAATACTTCGTATTTTATTATCATACTTTAATAATTCCAATAAAATTTTTTCATTGGTTTGCCATTCAAGAGAAATATAATATATGTCAGCAGCTGAAGGCAAATTTTATGGCACTTTATCCCAACATCGTTTCATAAAGAAGTGTCTTCAAAAACATATGGTATTAGGGTGCGTAATATTATAATTTATCAAAACTATGTAAGGTTAATCAATAAAATATATAATAATAAATTTTCAAAATCTCACGTAAAATGATTTAAATAATTTTTTCTTGCATTTTAATGTAAAATTTTTTTTCTGTAATTTTGTT